TATATATATAGCGATTGATGCGATGGCCACGTTACATGCTGGTGAATAGCGTCATTTACGCAAAGACACTTCACATTCGGTGGTGGCGGCCCATGTGCGCGCACTGCATAAGGATCTGCGGGTTACAGTACACGCGTTAGAAGAGCTACGCACGTATATGGCCAGCTGTGCGTTATCAAAAGTATCTCTGGACGAGTCCCGCGATGCGCATACTTCAGCAGCAACTGAACCGTTTCGGCCGACAGTTTGTTGCATCACTTCGGGCCACGATGGTGGCTCAGAACGAAGACTGGTTTAAACTTAGGAGAGCCAGGTCCTACACTTCAATTGTATACGTAGTAATGTGGAGGCACATCATTCTCGTGCACGGGACAGGACGGCATCGAGGCTGAGATTGGCAACATACTATCGCCTATAGAGCTGGGGAGTGGTGCAGCCCTTCCAGAAGATATGCCAGCTTTCAGAAGGGTGCTCGGTGATGGATTCCATGTCCTCAAGCTACTACCGCTTAAAACAAAACACTCTTGCTTTCAAGCTTTCATGCGTTTGTTCAAGGATGCGAAGTATGTACGCGATACAGCTATAACGCAGATAGTGGATCACGTTCTAGTTACACGACAGAATTCATCTGTTTTACAGAATGACAAGACTAAGAGTGGGCGAGCATACTTGACAGCACGTGTCTCACGTATATGTCCCGATCCAGTGATCATCATGTAAAAAGAACGGGTTCCTCATAGTAGTTGCACAGTTAACGTATATTACAAACGTATACCGTACTAACGCTTATACTTATAATTCTGGAATACGTTTAACGAATTGGACATGGACAAGAACTGCGTAATTCAAGATTTTAAACATGTGACAGTACACATTAGAGTATGGGACTCTACTGTGGGCAATTAGGTGGCTTTCCAAATATAGCTTGGGTTTTCCACTGAAATTAGAATTGTACATACTCTAGGACCGACACAAATCTGACACCTGAACATGACACTTTGGGAATCTCTAATTATTGGGAGTACCATGAGAGAGGGTCTCAGGCATGAAATGGTTGTTGGTACAAACTTATGGTATAATTCGAAAATGATCTCAGAGCAAGAGAATCCACTGGGGATCAGAGTTGTTAGAATTTAGGACAACATGGTTTTGATTCCTCCTAGCCAACCAACTAGTCTATGCCTTAAATGTGATGGGGAGCTAGGTACCAAGTGATGGAGTTTAGGTGCGGATATATACTGCACCAGCTTGGTGTTTTGATTTTCTTTTTGTTTTAGGGTTTTTCTTTCTTAAGTTGGACTTAGAGTTATTTTATTGGTTAGTGTGATTAGGTGATTGTTTCGAGGCGTGAAATGTAAACTAAGCGTCCAATAAAATGATATCTAGTCTTGGTAACTAAAACATAAATAAATCTAGACCCTAGTAGTGAGTGATTAGAGCGGAGCATATAGACAATAGTCGCAGTCTAAAATCCCCTATTCTTTGCTCACTACCAAGGGCTGAAGCTAAACTTATTTAACATTTTGAATTCCAACGTTTTAACGTATTGTTTTAATAACGTAAACGTCATGGTATCATATAGTCAGCCTAGAGGAGACCGACTTTTACAATCACTCGATGTGTGCAACTAGTATTCAAAATGAGCGGTTTTTCACTACAAGTGTATCTCAGCAAGCCAGACGCATATTGCTAAGCTTCCGCAGGGGGTGTTATTCAGATCCCAGGGAAAAGAATGTACTTCACACTGTATGAAGACGTGGTACTAGTGGTGTTGAGGGAGCTTGGCATCAGGAGTTCAGTAGAAGATCGGGCTGCTACATGTTGAGTGGTAAACAAGGGGACATGATTCTGTCTAGATTCGTAACACAAAGGAACTACACAATTGGTGTACAGAAAAGAGGGGTGGCTGACTGTGGACATCGCGATTTAGCATTGGAGGACACCATTGCATCAGCATACGGAGATCTCACAGGTGAAACTTATAGTATTGATGGCGTGCCATGGGAGTCGAAAACAAACTTCTTGAATACGGGAGAGACAACGGGTATATCTAGTATGCGCTACACTGTGGATTAGACGCAACTTTCAGAGTTAGAAGAAAGACTGAAGGATGTGAAGCTCACACCCGATCGGGCATATGTTGCAGAGGTACAAGAATTACCAACAGAAGTTAATGGGTCAAGGGTTAACGAATGAAGCTATGATGGAGCCATGGAATGTACAGGTGAACGATGAGGATATTTTAATGAAGGTGGAGGCACACTTTGAAACTGCTAGAGGCGTAATGGAAAGGAAGCGAAACGAGGCAGCGACACGTGCGCAATACCCGGGGTTAGACGAATTGAGTTCTAAGCTCAATAGTAATGCTGCTCGCACCGAAGTATCGGAACAATAAGAAGAGGATGAGGTAATATACCAAATCCACCATGGTAGTAATAAAGATAACTGTACTACTAGTACTCAACATCAATCCTCGAGCAGTCAATTTGTTCCTAATATGCAGTCTATGCCAAGATTAGCTCAGAGTGCTAAGACTGCAGGCGGTCTCACGCAAACTGTTGCAAGTACTGCAGTGTTCAAAAATATACAAGCTCAACCTCGCATATCTCAGCAATTGCCGCCGCAGATCAGGAAACAACGACCAACAAATTCTGGTATGATGCATACCATGCGTCCAAATGAAGTCATGATTAGTTCTCAGCAAGCCATGCAGCAACAGATCATAATACAACAGCAATTTATGCAATTGCAACAACTCATGCAACAGCAACAAATTATGCAACAGCAGAATGTTATGCAATAGGAACGGGGGAATGTACAGCAGCAGGCGAAAACTGCACAGCAAGCTGGACAGCAACAAAACTCGCAACAACAGCAACACCACCCGCAACAGCAGCAGCAACAGACTACAAAGCAACATCAAGCGAGGCTTCACAACAACAGCCTGTACAGCCACGACAGACTGTGCAACTACAACACCCTGTACAACCTGTGCAATTACAACAGGATTTCCAACAAAATACATCCATAGAATTGATGAGTAAGAGTGTGAAGAAGCCATGTAGTCTTTGTCCAGAACCAGGGTGTAAAGGTGGTTACAACAGACTCAATTGTATAACGCAAAATAAGGTTAAGCCCAAGGTAACAAGTAGAAGAGTAAAGAAAGCAAAGCAACTAGATGAATAAACGATTTTAAATGTATAACATATTTGTTATTTGTTTTGTGTGTTAAGTGTTGTTATTGATTGTTCTTTTAGACAGTTTAAGTGCTGAACAAGCTATCAGAAATGGTACTTCTGTAAAATCAGCGGGTTCCTATAGTAGAAGCACATGATAAACGTACTTATACACGTATTAACGTTTAAACGCTATTACGGTTATAAAACCTGGTATACGTTGAAACGCAATTGTAGATATTTGTATCTGTATAATAATCGAATAATCTAAATTTAGATATATTAAATTTGCAGAACACAAACAAACAAATAACCTATTTTGGGATATTTGAAAATATGATTGTATACAACAGAGGTTGGAGACTCGGTTGATATTGACATGATGGTTTTGCTATAACGATATATTTTCCACCAGAATATTGGAATATAATAGTTGGGAGAGTCTGAGGTGAATTTGACACTTGATGACACACGTTATATTACCGAACACTCGCAGCGCGAAATGGCCCACTGAGAAATGGGGCATGAAAATGATTCCCCCTAGCCAGCCGACTAGGTGTGCCCGTCTATGCCTTCAATGGGATGGAGAGCTAGGTACCATGTGATGGGGTATAGGTACAGACATTTAACTGTACCAACCTGGTGTTTTTGATACCTTTTTCATTTTCTCAAGTTGGACTTAGAGTTATTTTATGAGTGATTGCGATTGGAAGATTGTTTTGAAGCGTAAAATGAAATGGAATGAAATATCATGCATCCAATGAAATGAAATCTGATCTTAGTTACTGACACTAAATAAAACTAGACCGAAGTATTGAGTGATTAGAGCGGAACTATAAAGACAACAATAGTCTCAGTCTTAAATCCCCGAATCTTTGGTTCATTACCAAGGGCTGAAGCTACTTAAATTACATTATGCAAATTTACTTTGAAATCGTACTTTCTTTTACGTTAACTTATTGACATCGATAGTCAGCCTGGTTAATCTGACTTATACATAACTTTAAGTTTATAACGCTATCGAGAGAAGGACAAAACGTAAAGGAAAATCCAAGGCATTTAAGAGCCAACCGAAGGTCAGTCCTCTCAAACCCCCCTACGAGCCCGATTCTCAAGCGGCTGAAGATGTGTCAATTATGATGGCACATGCTCTACCCAAAGAGATCTTTGACGATGTGACGATGTGTAAACCACACAAGTCTAAGAAGTCAAAGAAGCCAAAGGAGAAGAAAGGCAAAAGGAATCCAAAGAAGGGTTCGGCGGAAGACCAGCCGGAACCACCGGAATCAAAGTCGGAGAGCCCAACGCCGAAAGGTAAAGAGGCTCTACAATCTGAATCAGAACCGGATTCAAACTCGGAGGGAGAAGATTTACCGACGATTACATGCGCGAATTACGCCAGCTGGCAGCCGCATTCAAGGAATACAAGGACCAGAAGAATACCGGCAAAAGAAAATTCACGGTGGAAATGAAGTCGAAGAGTTCTAGCGGTGACGAAAGTCGAACATCGCCAGAATTTGAAGAATCAGACTCGTCGGGACCAGATAATCAGCCGCCGTCTGCTAAGCGATCGAAGACATCAACGAGACGACGATGACTAAGCGCAAGAAGAGCAAGAAGGATGACAGGGACGATGGAGATGATCCGTGACTGCATGGTATGAGGGAGACGGACGCATCAGTTGATGAGATTTCGGAGAGTGACACGAAGATTGTTGATTTCACAGCTCGGATCCCTCACGCGGAAGAGGGGGCGACGCTAGCAATGGATCAAAGGAAGATAGAGCAAGCCAGCTTGAGAATGACAATGGCGAGGCATTTCCAATCCAAGATCGACACGGAGCTACGCATCATACACACCGAAAAGACAGTGGACAGTAAGAAATTTGTCAAGGATATAGGTAAGTTACCCACCACGTATCGCCCAGTTCGAAAAGATCAAAAGGATACAATCGATACGAGTAAATTAACGCTATTGTCAAGATCTTTAAAAGAGTTTGGTCAATTCATGCTTACCCATCATCTTATAAGTATAATAAGTTGAAGAAGGCAAAGGCTGCTGTAACAAATCTGCAGACATGAAAGGAGCAGAGCGAGATGATAGTTCATATATTTTCAATCGACCCCGGGCCGGAACTGCTGGTATCTATAACGGCACCCCCGGACGAAGGGACGCCAGTGTCACATTACTTATTGGAATTGGACACCCATATATCACGTGCTCAGACACAAGAAATGGCACCAGACACACTGAGTATGTGTGTTGTGGGTACAAACAATTTTTCGGTCGGCTCTTCACCGAAAAGACCAGGAAGTGTTGTACGTAGACATGCATCAATCTTTCCCAGAAAAGGTACGTGAGATTTCAATTGAAGGGCCAACTTACGGCATCATGAAACTCGCCGACCTGACTTGGACTGAATTTTACTCGAGAGCAGATCAGACGTTTTCTGGTTCGCCGAATCCTTTGGTGAAATTCATACCGCCTAATAAGAAGACGGTGCCTGTAAAAGTCGGTCTCTTCTAGGCTGCCTATAAGATACCAAGACGTTAACGGCAATAAGACAATACGTTAAAACGTTAAAATGCAAAATGTTAAATAAGTTTAGCTTCAGCCCTTGGTAATGAGCAAAAGATTAGGGGATTTTGGACTGAGACTATTGTCTATATGCTCCACTCTAATCACTCACTACTTCGGTCTAGATTTATTTATGTTTTAGTTACTGAGACTAGATATCATTTCATTCGACGCATAGTGTGCATTTCACGCCTCGAAACAATCTCCCAATCAAACTAACCAATAAAATACTTCTAAGTCCAACTGAAAAAAATCAAAATCAAATCAAAACACCAAGTCGGTACAGTATACATCTGCACCTAAACCCCATCACTTGGTACCTAGCTCCCCATCCCATTTAAGGCATAGACGGGCACATCTAGTTGGCTGACTAGGAGGAATCAAAACCATGTTGTCCTAAATTATAACAACTCTGATCCTGTCCTATTCTCAGTGGATTATCTTGCTCTGAGATCATTATTGAAGTATACCATAGGTTTGTACCAACAACCATTTCATGCCTGAGACCCTCTCTCACGGTACTCCCAATAATTTTAGATTCCCAACGTGTCATTTTCAGGTGTCAGATTTGTGTCATTCCTAGAGTATGTACAATTCTAATTTTAGTGGAAAAACCAATCTATATTTGGAAAGCCACCTAATTGTCCACAGTAGAGTCCCGTACTCTAATGTGTACTACCACATGTTCAGAATTTTGAACTACGCAGTTCTTGCTCATGTTCAATTCGTTAAACGTATCCCAGGAATATAAGTATAAACATTAATACATTTATACGTTTACTGTGCAACTACTATTTGAAACCCGCTATTTTTACATAGCCCCCCCCCCTCAGCTTGAAAATTACAATGTTGGCTTATATGACGTATCAGTACATAGACTCAAAAAGCTCACATGAATTGTACATGCGAAAAAGAAAAGAAACGGGTTTTGATCATATAACGGCCTCAATGCTTATGTTATATTCTCTTAGACAAAGTATGCTTAGCCTTTATAAGTTTTAGTTACGCATTTCTTGTTCATATTCACTTCGTTAAACGTATTCCAGGATTATTAGTAAAAGCGTTAATACGTTAATACGGTTATAATATAAGTTAACTGTGCAACCACTATTAGGAACCCGTTATTTTTACACTCTCATACGGGAACAGGAAATAACAAAGGGAACAAAGGTATAGACAAAGAAGGCCAGAAGAACAAGCATGCACAAGATGGTGATGGTAAAGAACAATGTCAACACTCGCGGGACTTTGGGCAATAAATCTAATCAGGCAGCCGAACCTCTTAAACCAAAGTATAAGGAGACCAAGGACTGTGCTGAGACAGATTGCAGCTGGCACATGACCCAACATGAGCCAAATGGACGCTGGAATGGCAGGCACGCAGAGAAATGTAAACATTTTATTGCGAAGTGTGCAGACTGTGCAGGGACTGGAGGTTACCACAAACACATGTGTAAGGTGCAATTAAAGGTAGAAGTTAAGTGACAATCTTACCGGATCTTGGCATTGAAACAAAAGGATGCACCAAAGATGAGCGCGTCATTCTAGATGTACGAGTTAATGGACATGGAATAAAAACGTTATTGGATCCGGGCTCGCAAATTTTATGTATATCATCGAGATTCTGTAAGATAAATGATATAGCTCTTAAATCAGAACCTACTATGTTGAAATTAGCCGACGAAAGGGAGATTACGTGTCATGACATGGCCAGCGATTTATGATTTACCCTTACAAATCAAAGGACCACGGTTCCAAAAGCGGTTGTCTGTAACACTTCGCCTGACTATGATTGAATAGTGGGGATGGGGGATTTGCTATCGTTAGGTATAACGATTACCGGTTTGCCAACAAACATAGACCCACAGAAGGATCAGTCATATGACAATCTGCTGAAATCTGTATATAAGCCTTCTAAGACTGTGAAAGAGATGATACCTCAATTCACGGAGAAGCTAATGAATCTTATTTCGAGAATAACAAGATAAAGATCACCGACTGGGCTCAGTTCAAATTCAACAATGGATACATGAGCTTAAATTTGACAAAAATGGACTTTTCGAAGTTGAAATGTTCAACGCGAAATTATGTAGCGTGGCGTCACGAACAGGTGGTACGAGAACAAGTTAAGGCATGTTTGGAAGACGGGGTAATCGCAGTCAACTACGAACCTACTCCTGTCTACCTGGCACTCTTGGCTGTAGACCAGTTCAACTCCGATGCCACGTTAAAGAAGGTTCGCGTGTATTTGGATATGTGTCCTATAAAAGCTCTTATACCCACACACAACTTTCACTTAACGAGAATTAATAAATTGCTGAGAAGAATGGAAGGAGCGAAGATATTTTCGACCATCGATTTTAAGCAAGGCTACCCCCAAATGAAGATATACAAACCACACCGGAAGTATTTCACCTTCACTTGTGAGGGACAGCAGTATTCATTCAAGGGAGCCACATGTAAAATAGCGGGTTCCTAATAGTAGTTGCACAGTTGACGTATATTATAAACGTATAAACGTATTAACGAATTGGACATGAACAAGAATTGAGATATTTAAGATTCTGAACATGTGATAGTACTCAGTAGAGTAAGGGATTCTACTGTAGACAATTAGGTGGTTTTCCAAATATAGATTGGTTTTTCCACTGAAATTAGAATCGTACATAAGGGTTCAGGGTTTAGGGTGTAGAAACCCTAAACCCTAGGAATGATACAAATCTGACACCTGAAAATGACACTTTGGGAATCTCTAATCAACGGGAGTACCATGAGAGAGGGTCTCAGGCATGAAATGGTTGTTGGTACAAACCAATGGTATAATTCGATAGTAATTTCAGAACAGGATAATCCACTGAGAAAAGGACAGGATCAAAGTTGTTAGAATTTAGGACAACATGGTTTTGATTCCTCATTGCCAGCCAACTAGATGTGCCCGTCTATGCCTTAAATGGGATGAGGAGTTAGGTACCAAGTGATGGGGTTTAGGTGCAGATGTATACTGCATCAGCTTGGTGTTTTGATTTGATTTTTGATTTTTCTTAGGTTGGACTTAGAGATATTTTATTGGTTAGTTTGAGTAGATAGTTGTTTCGACGCGTGAAATGTAAAATATGCGTCCAATGAAATGATATCTAGTCTTAGTAACTAAATTATAAAAAATCTAGACCGAAGTAGTGAGTGATTAGAGTGGAGCATATAGACAATAGTCTCAGTCTAAAATCCCCTAATCTTTTGCTCACTACCAAGGGCTGAAGCTAAACTTATTTTTAATATCTTGCGTTTTAACGTTTTAACGTATTGTCTTATTACCCAAACGTCTTGGTATCGTATAGTCAGCCTAGAGGAGACCGACTTTTACATATTTTTAAGTTTATAATACGCTATCGATATTATGACGAAAGGAAACAATAGGGCAGCGAATGTAGCTAAGGCTGCAAAAGTAAATTTGTTTACTGTAGGCGATGGAAAGTAGAAAACACCCCCGGTATCATCAGTGGACTCTGACGTAACTGAGTTCACGTCCAGACAACCGGTACCAGTTCTGACTAATGAAAAACGTAAGAAGTTGGTTGACTCGGGTATATGTGCATCCGGAGGTAATGTGACTACGGAGCCACAGAAGCCACCAGCCAAGAAGGCGAAATCTCGAAAGGGAAAGGCCGAGAAAACGCAATCCTCAGACAATTCAACTTCAGAGGAAGTGCGACATGCACTGGAATCAGATGTACCATATCCACCAGTGGATACGTGCAAAGCACGTGGGCGAAATCCTACTTATCACATGATAGCAAGGGATAGGAGAGCCTTTCTGAAAGACTACCAACTAATGGTACATGATTTGAGACCTACTAAGCAGCGAAAGAAAAAGCAAGCCGCAGCGAAGGATCAAAGTCGTGATGAATCAGGGGAGGATGACTCGGAGGATGAGCCAACACCACTGTTGGATCAACCCCAAATCAACGTATCGGAAGAACAACTGCGTTTCGTGGATATAGGTCCGGACGATGTGGACCAGAC